TCAAGAAATTTGATTAAAATTATATTAAAAATAATTAAAATTCTGCGATGAGTTTTATTATTTATAAAAAATTAAAAATAATTGAATTATTGAGAAGAAACTTATAAAAAATTTGTAAGTAATTGAATTCTTATAAAAATTTTATTATTCATGAAAATAATTAAATGTTTGCGTGGAATTTTATCAAAATTTTTTTCAAATAATTGAATTCTTTTGGAAAATTTTATTAAAATAAAAGATATTAAAAATCAGTAAATTGAGGATAAACTCTGAAAATAATTGAAATTTTGTCAAGAATATTTATTAAAATTTTTTAAAATAACTGAATTTCGGTGAAGAATTTTCTTATTAAAAAAAAATAATTGTAATTTTGACGAGATTTTAAAAAAATTTTTAAAGGAATTGTAATTTTGCCAAGAATTCTATTAAAATTTTTGTAAATAATTAAATTTTGAAGAAGAATTTTATTGTTCATAAAGATAACTGAAATTTCGACGAGAATTTTTTAAAAATTGTTGAACATAATTGGATTTTTGACAAGAATTTTTTTAAAGTTTTTGAAAATAATTGAATTTTGGAGAAAAATTTTATTATTTATAAAGATAATTGAAATTTTTGAATTACATTAAAATTTTTGAAAATAATTGAATTTTTAAGAAGGATCTTTTTATTTATATTTTACAGAGATAGTAATTGGGATTTTGTCGAGATTTTTTTGTAAATTTTAGAACATTATTAGTTTATTACTTTTGAAAATAATTGAATTTCTGCAATCATTTGCAACTTCTTCAGAATTCAATTTTTTTAGTGTTTTTAACTAAATTTCTTCTATAAATCCATTATATTTAATAATTATTTAAATATATATTGACAAATTTAACTAATTCAAAATCTTCTTAAAAATTTTCTTAAAAAGTTCATTAAAAATTCTATTTAAATTCATTCAACATTGAAATTTTATAAAACTTCAAATTGAAAACATTCGAAGTTCATTAATTTATGAAAATTGTAAACGCAACTCTTTTAAAATTGAATTAATTTTGAAATATTTAATTAAAATTATTCATTAAATAATTTCTTTATTTTATGATAGTTGTTCAAGATTTAAGTTATTTAAAAAGAACTGTTTGTCAGAAATTGAAAAAATTAAAGGTTTTTTAATTTTTATTTAGAATTTTAGATTCTAATTTAGAAATTGAGAATTTATTTTATTAGAATTGGTAATTTTATAGTTTATGAGTCGAACAAAAAGGACATAAAAATTTAATTTTCTTATGAATTCTAAAAATTTAATTTTTTCTATACTTTTAATAAAAAATTTCTGACTTTTCCCAGAATTTTCTATGTCAGAATATATGATTATTATAATTATAATAATATTAAAACTACATATTCCACAATTCATATTTTATTTAAAAAAAAAAATTGAATAAAAAATTTATACGGTCTATTATTTTTAAAATTGCTAATTTTATTTTAAAAAGCGCGCGAATTGTTGCTAGTTTTTAATATTATTACTAATCTTATGCATTGAGAAAAAATTTGTTGAATACAAAAATAAGTAGCCAGTGAAAAAAATATAATTAAACATATTTTATAATTGAACTAAACATCATTTTTATTGAAACAAACTTATTATGTATTGAATAAAATTATGATGTCAAATAAATAATTTTGTAAAACAAAAACAATTATGCTTGATTCAAATATATTAATTTCTCAGTGTGTTAATTACCCAACATTTTTTTTTTTATTAAAACACACAAGTTTTAGAAACTGCTCCCAAAAAGTTAAATTAGAATTTCATTTTCATCGACAATGTTAGTAGAAGAAACCCCTTAAATTTATTATTAAAATTAATCAAATTAAACTTGTAGGGAAAAATTTGAATAAGTTTTTGTATATAATTACCGGATATAAAATGTTTCTGTAAAAATCTGACAAAATGAAATTGTCTACGAGAATAGTTTTAATAATAGAAGAAAAAGAGGAGAATAGAGAAAAAAAGCAAAAAGAGAGGAACAAAAATTAACAATGTTAGAGATGAAATAAAGAAAGAAAAAAATTGTCTTTTATGGTACACGTGGGTCCACAAAATGGATATAAAATTTTGCAAATCGAGATCCAGGTGAACTTGTTTCATATATACACTCTCGCGTGGCTTTTGCGCGAATTGTGAACAGAATTCGAATGAGGAAAGTTCGGGAGTAAAAACAGACTTCGTTGTGCTTAGTACTGGTTTAATTAATATCGCAATATCCGAAGGTTTCTCTCTCTCTCTCTCTCTCTCTCTCCCTCACTCTCCTTCTATCTATATATTTATAATATATATATATGTATATATGAATATTCGTTATATAGCTTCTGGTTTTGCCTTTTTGCTACTTCTCATGTACCATTTGCAATAGTGGAACAAATACAAAACGCGAGCAAACTTGACGTGTATATATTTGCACAATGTTTCGAGCATTGGCAACTCTGCTGTTTAAGCTAATTATTAATTACTAGCTCCTAGATTACAACACAAGTACCAGAATATTTAATGAGTGAAATTTGATTTTCAATTGATGCCTTCAAATATATAACGTGATTATATGCCCAGTTTAATCAATTAACGTCAATATTCATTAAACAATACTTGAAAATATAATCTTTCACACATTTAATGAAAGGCAATTTGCATTTTTAGGTCAAAGAAATGCAGAAAATAAATAATCCTATTCATAAATATTCTTTTTCTTTCTCTCCTTCTAAATATTCTTTCTTCTATTTTCTTCTTTTTTATTCACTATCGCTTTTTGTTCTTCACACTAAATTCAAACTGAATTCAAAACTAAATTTGAACTGAAATTAAAATTGAAAAGTAATATCAAAAGTGTTTCGTAAAATTTAAAAGAAAAATAATGTCAACTAGATGGAAAATGGTTGATAGATAAATAATATTTTTGTATTCGAAAAATGTTATTTTTGACAAAATAAAATTTACAATTCGTATTAATTCAAGCACAACATATTTTAAATCCTGTATTCTAAAACAGGGTTAACACAAAAATTTAATTTTGTCTTTTCCTGATTTTTCCCTAATTTCTAGACAACATTTTGACTATTTAATATTAATTAATTATAATATTAAACTATTTAATATTCTGATTCACTCTAAAAATTATAAGATACTCAAACAAATGTTTTATTACATTTATTTATGAATTTCTTTAATTGCAAAATTATTCGAAAACATCAATAACTTCTTCAAAATTATTTTCATCATTTCATTTCAATTATTATTTTCTAGAATTTTTAACTAAAATTCTTCTTTAAATCAATTATTTTTTAATAATTTTTGAAAAAGTTCTTTGAGAATTTTCAAATCAATTTGTATACAATTCAATTTTACGAAATTTCAATTATTCGGAAATTTTTCAATTAAAAATATATATTAGAAAATAAAAACTTGAAATAATTTCAAAAAAAAGCCAATTAAACTTTTTTAAAACAAATAATTCTACAGAATTGTTAGTTAAATGTATGAAAAATTCAAATTTTTAAAGATTTTAATTTGAAACCTATTCAAAATTCAATTATTTATAAAAATTCATGGTATAATTCTTTTAATATTCAATTATTATCTAACATTTTAACTAAAATTCGTTTCTAAATTAATTTTTATTAAAAAATTCTACGAGAATTCAATTATTTAAATACAAAAATAAATAATTCGTTGAATAATTGAATGTTTCTTAGAATTGAATTCTCATAAAGAATTTTATCAACAAATATTTAAAGAATTAAATTTTTTCGACGAATTTTAATAAAATTTTTATGAATAATTATATTTTTCGAGGAATTCGATTAAAATTATATTAAAAATAATTGAAATTTTGCGATGAATTTTATTATTTATGAAAATAATTAAATTATTGCGAAGAAATTTATTAAAAATTTGTAAATAATTGAATTCCTATAAACTTTCTATTATTTAAATGAAAATAATTAAATGTTTGCGTAGAATTTCATTAAAAATTTTTTTAAATAATTGAAATCTTTTGGAAAATTTTATTAAAATAGTAGATATTGAAAATCAGTGAATAAAGGAAAATATTTTTAAATAATTGAAATTTTGTCAAGAATTTTTATTAAAAATTTGAAAATAAACTGAATTTCGGAGAATAATTTTCTTATTTAAAAATATAATTGTAATTTTGACGAGATTTTTCTTTAATTTTTTAACGTAATTGAAATTTAGCCTAGAATTCTATTAAAAATTTTGTAAATAATTAAATTTTAAAGAAGAATTTTATTGCTTATAAAGATAACTGAAATCTTGATGTGAATTTTTTAAAAATTTTTGAACATAATTGAATTTTTGCCAAGAATTTTATTAAAATTTTTGAAAATAATTAAATTACGGAGAAGAATTTTATTATTTATAAAGATAATTGTAAGTTTTGACGTAATTTTAAAAAAATTTTCAATATAATTTATTGAAATTTTAACGAAAATTATTTTAAAGCTTTGAACATAAATGAAATTTTATCAAGAATTTTCTAATTTTTGATAATATAATTGAATTTTTTAGAAGAATTTGATTATTTATAAAAATAATTGGAGTTTTGACGATAATTTTTTTAAATTATTTAAATTTTATTAATCTAAGTTCTTTAAAATTTCTAACTAAATTCATTAAAAATTGAAATTTTATAAAATTTCAAATAGAAACCTTTTGAAGTTCATATATGTTTTTATGAAAATTGTAAACCCATTCTCTTTTAAAATTCAATTAATACAATTAATACAATAAAAAAAATTTCCGTTTCCCTACAAACATTACTGATTTCCAAAAAAGGATTTTTTTAAAAATACTTCTATTTCTAATTTGCCTAAAAATTTGTATTAATTATAAAACTGTATTATGCGCGAGAATTTATAAAACTCGATATATTTAAAAAAAATAGTCATTTGAAAATAATTTTAACGCCATAAATCAAATTGGTTTGTTACAGTACCGCCGGAAAGAAATCCAGAAATCAACGGTCTGGTTGGTGAATACACGACTGGTGAAAATATCACCGCTAACTGCACAGCTTTCGCCTCAATTCCGAAGGCAAAAATGCATTGGACCATTAATGGAGAAACGGTGAGATACTTTTTTTCCATACATAAAATAATTTTTTTTAAAAAGTAACATATTTACTCGAAAAATGAAAAATGTAATTATATTTTTAATTCTTTCGAAGAAGAAATTATAAATAAGCAAAAGTTAATAAGTATAATTAAAAAAGAATAATTCTAAATTTAAATTAGTAAAAATGTTTAATACTAATTTCAATTAGTGACTTACTTTTTGCTTTAGATTTTATTAAGACGACTAATTGGATTTCATTAGCTGCTTATGTTAATCATTAAATAAAATTTTATATTTGTTACAATTCAATATTAAAACTTTAGTTATAAATTTTACTCGGTAAACTTTTGTTTCACTAATTATTTGAAAATTTGCACAAACTTTTATTTGGCTCAACTTTTTGCATCAAAGATGTTTTTGTTGGAATAACTATTTGTTATTATTATTAATAATTTTATTAGTAACTAATAACTATTTATTATTAATTTTCAAGATATTTCATCAACTAATCAAAATAAAGTGTTTTGAAATAATAAATTATAATTTAGATAACAATTTTATAAATAATAGAATTTGAAAACTTTCTAATTTAAATTTTTGTTGAAAACACTAAAAAAATTCAATTTTCGAGAAATTACAAATAATTGAAGAAATTCAACTATTTTAAAAGAAAAAAATTAAATTCTTCTTATAGAATTCAACTATGTACAAAATTTGAAAAAATTCTCGTAAAAATCCCAATTATCTTTATAAATAACAAAATTCATCTGCAAAGTTCAATTATTTTCCTAAATCTCAAAAAAATTCTTGTTTTAATTTCAATTATTTTCAAAAATAAAATGCATTTTTCTAATTTCAATGATTTTCAATATATTTTAATAAAATTTCCCAAAAAAATTCAATTATTTAAAAAAATTTTTAATAAAATTGTATGCAAATATTTGATTATTTTCATAAATTATAAAAATTTCACAGGGATTCAATTATTATTTTTATAAATAATAAATTTCTTTTAAGGAATTCAATTATTTTCATAAAAAATAATTTAAAATTCTAGAAAATAATAATTGAATTAAAATGATGAAAATAATTTTGATGAAATTACTGTAACAATATTCTTATAATAATATAAAATAATGATTTTATTACTTGGTCATATTTAATTATTATAAAACATGAAGAAATCGATCACTCTGAGTCTTCGACTCGGAGCAATCGATATCTTCATGTTTTATAAAAATACTTTTATAAGTTGTTTAATTTAAAAAAGGTTTGAATTTGAAATTTTTGAATGTCTTAATTCCAGTTGAAAATCGTGTTCCAAAAAGAAGATTAAAAAAAGGGAATTTTGCAAATATTTTTCTTATTTTTTTTTAAAACAAAATAATAATAATTTTGTTAAAAAAATTGTGATTTATAAACGAAAATAATAGAAAATAAATTGCATTATTATTAACTTTTTTATAATTTTTCTTTTCAAATATTTTCAATTTTAAAATTAATATATTGAAAATCATCGAATTGTTGCAAAGAATTTTATCAAAAAATTTGATGATAATAGAATTTCTTCAAAGAATTTTATTATTTTGGAAAATAACTGAATTCTCGCAAAGAATTTTATTAACATTTTTAAAAATTCTAATTAAATTCTTTTGAAGAGTTTCGTTGAACTTTTTTTTAAACTAATGGAGTTTCTTTAATAATTTTAATTGAAAATTTTGAAAGCATTTGAATTTTATGAAGAAGAATTTCATTAAAAGTGAATTGAAAATAATTGAATTCTTGCGGAGAATTTTACTATTTATAAAAATTGTTTCGAAGAATTTATTAAAATTTTTGGACATATATAATTGAAATTTATGGAAATATTTAAAAATATTTGAATTCATCCGAGGAATTTAATTAAAATTGTTTTGAAAATCATTGGATTTTTGTAAAGATTTTAAAGATTTCTATTGAAAAAAATAATTAAATTGTTTAAATGGATTTTACTATTTATAAAAATAATTAAAATGTTTCGCAAGAATTTTTAGAAATTTTAAGAAATAATTAAATTTTTATGAAGAATTTTATAGAAATACTAGCTGTCGTACCCGTCTTCGACGGGTTGTAGTTTCTGATAATGCACTTAACAGTGTATCTACCAACCTAGAAAACCGGAAAATAGCCGGGAATTTGATTTGACAGGGAAAAAATAATAATTAGTTACTATTGTCTATTTCATTAGGAAAATAATACCATTTGAAACAGTGACCGACTTTTTATTATCAAATTAGTTATTTTTAACTAATTCAAATGCAGAAAACAATATTTCTCAATTTGTAGTACTTCAATCAATATAATGTATTAAAATAAATCTAAAATTTCCTCCAGTTTTTTGAGTTATAGTACAGTCTAATTCGAACTAATTGTATAGCAAGTAGATCCAGTTTTTCTTGGTTACATTAAATTCCCTGATATTTTACGTCTTTTCTGGTTGGTAAGCACCCTGTTAAATGTATTATTAAAAAAAACCCGTCCAGTAAACCAGGAAAAATTTGGACAAAGCCGGAAATTGTTTTAAACCAAAATAAACACCGTGTTTAACTTTTGTCTTTACATTGATCAAGATATCTCTAAAAGTTAAATCAGAGAGCCCACAAATACTATTGAATTAAGCTTCATAGCAATTGGTATCAATTATAATTTTTTCAATTTTTTGATATTCAAAACATTTTTATACTTACATCTTCGTTATAAGAAAGTATTTTTGAAAAATTATGCTAAAATGTGACTAAATAACATGTAATACTCAACTATAGAAAGTTTAGAAGCAATCCATGAAAAAATATAAAATTAAGAAATGATTTGTGTTAAATAAATTTATTTATTAGAGTCAAGTATTTATTTAATTAATCCAATTAAGATTTATTTGATTCAACTAAATAAAATTATTTAAACGAAATAAATTCTTATTAGATCGAAATAAAAACTTTTTAAATAAGATATTATTTTTCAAATAATTATAATTACTTGAATCATATAACTTTTTTTAGTGTAGCTATAGTAAACTAAAAGTTATTAATGTGAACGAACATTATCTATATTAATAAAATCAGATTACTATCTGTACATTGCTCCAAACTTGAAAATTTTTATATATTTTTTCGTTTTGAGACATTAGAATTCTAAAAATGTAAAAAAAATTTCTGTCTGTCTGTCTCTGTCTGTATGCAAAACTTTGTTCGCGCATCAATTGAAAACGGTTCAACCAATTAAAGTGAAATTTGGCACCTATTAAAGTAACTTACAATCATAGCCTTATCCGATTAAAAAATATTAACTTGAACAAAAGTTATGACATTTTTCCAAAAAATTCAAAAAAACAAAAAAATGCAAATTTTTTATCTTTTGTAAAATGAATGAAAAAACTATCCTTAGCTAACTTTTTCAGATAAATACAACCCATTTCTACGATAAAATTTTTAAAAAAGATGTATTTTGAAATTTTTTTTCGTTTTTTTAGATCAACTTTTTTCTAAGAAAATAGTGATTTTTAATCTTTAAGCAAGCTTTTCAGGAAAAGTTATTAAAGTTTTTTATTTAAAGATCAGTATGTAAAGTAAAAAATTTGCTACATTAAACAAAAATAATTAGCTAAATGCCATAAAAAAGAAGGAAAAATGTTGAATTTTAAGAAATTCGGTTTTTTGAATTTTTGATAATTTTCCATAATTTTAGATTTTTTACCGAAGGGTGGAGATAACAAATTAGGTAAAGTATTTTTTAAGAGCACAAAAATAATAAAGCTAAATGCTATAAAAAAGAAGGAAAAATGTTGAATTTTAAGAAATTCGGTTTTTTGAATTTTTGATAATTTTCCATAATTTTAGATTTTTTACCGAAGGGTGGAGACTATTGAATAAGTAAAGTATTTTTTAAGAGCACAAAAATAATAAAGCTAAATGCCATAAAAAGAAGGAAAAATGTTTAATTTTAAGAAATTCATTTTTTTGCATTTTTGCTATTTTTCCATAATTTTAGATTTTTTACCAAAGGGTGGAGATAACAAATTAGGTAAAGTATTTTTGAAGAGCCCAAAAATAATGAAGCCAAAAGCCATAAAAGAGAAGAAAAAATGTTGAATTTTAATAAATTCGGTTTTATGAATTTTTGCTAATTTTCCATAATTTTAGATTTTTTACCAAAGGGTGGAGACTATTAAATATAAGTAAAGTATTTTTGAAGAGTACAAAAATAATGAAGCTTAATGATATAAAAGAGAAGAAAAAAATGTTAAATTTTAAGAAATAATTATTAATTAATTAATTATTAACTAATTATTAATTATTATTAATTAACTAATTATTAATTATTAATTATTAATTATTAATTAATTTATCCCGGGTATTTTTGATTTTCCGCAGATTGGTAGAAACATTGTTAAATGTATTGGTAGAAACTAAAACCCGTCGAAGACGGGTACGACATGACAGCTAGTGCTATATATTTTCAAAATTTTTAAAATTCAAAATTTATCTTTTGAAATAATTATTGTCATTAATTTTACTTAAATTTTATACAGGGTTAATTTTAGTATTTTTTATTACAATTTAGTCATCAGAATGAAATTTGAGTTTTTCATTTTTTGATCATTAATTAATAAAATATAATAGCAATTTTGAATTCTGTGCAACATACTGACAAAAGTCTCATATTAATTATATGGATATTGTTAATATTCTGACCTAATAGAATTTTTTTAAGAAAGTAAACTTATGATTTCAACAACAAATTTTTATTGTTGACCTAAGAAATACAACCGTATAAAAATTAATTACAAAAAAATTTCAATTTTTAAACTTTTTAATTTTTCAATATTTAAATCTAACACTTTTTATTTGTTATTCAAAATTTTATTATTCTGACGATTAAATCTTCATAAAAAACACTAAAATTAACCCTTTACCAAGTTTAAGTACAATTCACTAAAGTATATGAAAAAACTAAAAATTTCGAATTTTCGAATTTTT